TAGAGAGAGGATATCACTGTATTGCCTAGGCTGGTCTTGAACTCCTGGGCTCAAGTGATCTTCCCACTTTGGCCTCCCAATGTGTGAGATTATAGGCATGAGCCATCATGCCCAGGCAGGAATTGAAGTTTTGAGAGCTGTTTAAATAATGACCTGGTTCCGACTCTGTGGGGAGGCATCCTGGGCTGGTGACAGAGAAAGCTGGATGACGTCTTAGCCCCATTTTTCCCACCCTTGTCATGAGACGCCTTCTTGCCGTTTTCCCCGTAGGCCCGATACCTCTCCGCACAAGCTCGCCATCGATTTCACGCTGCCCTTGCATCTTGTTCCACCTCGATGCTGATCCTGTCCAACCTGGTGTTTCTTGGGGGTAATGAGGTTGGGAAAACCTACTGGAATAGAATCTTCATACAAGGTAAGTTGCTTGACAGTGCTGTTTTCATTCAGTTTCTTGTTTTCCATGTATGCGGATGGGATCACACGTAAGATTTGGGGGAAGTCATTCATTGTTATATTCATGGTATGTGACCTCTAAGTACCAGCCAGGAACAATTTCCTGTGTTTATCCATGATTTTAAATGTCCCCTGTTATTTACATACCCCATATCTCCTGTATGTGATACTTGTTTAACACCAAAAGGTACTATCCAAACTTTCCCAAAGTGTATATTCCTTTCCATTACACTATGTTTCCGATTATTTGATATTTCTTAATCTTTCCTCCTGCTGTGGTTGAATACCTGCTTCAAAACTCAAGTTGACACTTAGTCCCCAATTGGCAGTATTGAGAGATGAGGCCTTTAAGAGGTGATTGGATCATGGGGGGTCTGCCCTTATGAGTGGATTAACCCATTCATGGATTAATGGGTTGTTAAGGAAGTGGGACTGGTGACTTGACAAGAAGAGGAAGAAAGGCCTGAGCTAGGACACTCAGCCTCCTCACCTGTGATGCCCTGTGCTACCTTGGGACTCTGCAGAGAGTTCCCACCAGCAAGAAGGTGTTCACCAGATGCAGCCCCCTTGACCTTAGACTTCTTAGCTTCCATAATTGTAAGAAATAAATTCCACTTCTTTATAAATTATCCAATTTTAGATATTCTGTTATAATCAACAGACCACAAAGACACCTACTGTCTATGGATCTTAGTATGCAAAAATACTGCAAAAATCTAACCTTGTTTTGTTTATTGTTCCGAACATCCTACTAGAAATCTGCCCTAGAAGCTTCCTTGTGCTGCCCTGAAGCAGTGGGCTGTGGGCATGGCATCTATGTTTGCCACAGCTTGTGGGTATTTTTGTGTGAACACTAGGGGCCAACCTTATGTTTAACATACATTAAATAGGTAATCTGAATATCCATAGCAAAGCCACACCTGCAGCAGGTAAACTGCTACTATGTGGGAGTTGTCAAAATATTCTATTAATATTTGATCATCATGTATTTATGGCCACCATTTCCCTTGGGCTGGGACTGAGTTACATCATGTCTATAAGAGAATTGGGAGATTTGGAACTATTCACAGTAGATACTACTATAGCCAACTCATTATGTCTTAAAAGCGAAGATCCTTGTTCTGTTCCTTGCCTGTATTACTGTTTTCTGCTTCTGCTTTGGGAAACTTTGCCAAGTGGTGATGACATAACTGTGCACAGCTGGCCTGTCTCTTCACATCTGGGTCCCTGAGGAGCCAGCGATGCCTTTGCTGCAGCTCTTTTCACACCAGAAATAACAGCAACACAGCTGCAGTATTCCAGAATGGCAGACAGTGGGCCTAAACTGTAGCAGGCTTGGGTGAGCCAGCCTCGGAGGGCTAAGAGAGAGTCCTGTTCCACTTTCATCTTGTCACAAAAAAACCCCTCTTTGATCTTGCTTTCTGTAACATGCTTTAGCTGATAGTTCCTGAAAAGACCATGTACTTTCTAAGTGGAAGCTTTCCTTTAATAGAGATGAGGGATAATGGGGTGCAAAGAATCTATAAGTACAGGTGGGTTACAGCGTCCTTTACTTTTCTCGGTTCCTCTCACAGAACCTAGCACAATGATAAGATGGTCGTGAATTGGGGGAAGGAGCTGACTTGGAGTTTGCTTCTCACACAGTGAGAAGGCTCTGATTTTTGCTTCCCTAAATCAAATGCATTGGGTGTTTGCTACTTGCAAGGCACTGAGGACACAGAAATGAAAAATTGTGAGTGGCAAACACAGAAACAAAAATGTGCAGTAGATTGAGGGAATTGCTCTGCTGGATGTATGAGTGAATTCCTGGAGGTCACAGGATGGAGTAGCCGACTTTCCACAGAAGACGGATTTTTTCAGAAGAGGTGGCGTTTGAATTGAAGCAATAATTTCGGAATTTTCTATGTAGAAGAGGCAGGCATATTAGGGAAATTAACACTGGCTGCTTTGTCTGAAACTCCAAAATCTCGGTAATTTCTCACCATAGAAGTTTGTTTCTCTGACAGTTCAATACAAACTCAGTGGCTTTTTCTAAGCCATGACTTCAGGACCTACAATGTTGGTTTGGATTCTCCACTGTCTTGTGCTGGCATCATGGAGGGGAAGAGAACATGGGGCTGGTGTACCAGGTGCTAAAACACATGACATTTTCTGCTTACATGTCATTGGCCAGAGCCTCCAGTCACATGACCAACCCAAGTACAAGGCAGGGGCGTGCAGGGAAGCATGCAGATATCAGAAGCATGCAGATATCAATGTGTACCAGCTGTCTGTGGCACAGCAGGAGAGGCACATGGGCCTGGCCAGAAATGCCCAAGAGGCAGTTGGAAATCTGAGTTGGAGTTGCAGAAGACAGTGACCCAGTGATTGAAATGTGGGGGTCAAGGGCATAAAGGTTGTATGTGAGGCCAGGGGAGGAGATACAATTAGCCACAAAGCTGTATACAGTGAGAAGAGAACAGGGTGGGGGAAACCCCAGGGAATGCTGGCATTGAAGCAGGCAGAAAGAAAGGCAGGAAGGTCAAAGCGTGACTTGCCCAACATCCTGTGAACTTAACCTCAGTCACATGGGATCAGGGCTCTGAAAACCTGGTCTGCTGCTGCCATATGGGTCCTGCTGTGGCCTATGACTGAACACACCATTTGTGTCCTCCTTGGACTCAACTGCCACAGCCCTGGGGACTCTGGTTCTCTAAATGTGGAGGGCTCTGTGGAATCATCTCTCTTCTGGGTTCTGAGGCCAGAGAAGCTCAGCTTAGAAGGCATTTTCTGTGTCAGTGATTATCTAAATGACCCTCTTTGCATCTCAGCTGGTCTGTCCCATGGGCCTCCTGAGTCAGAGAATGTCTTCTGGAGTTTTGTCAGTTACCCCTTCATCTATTCCTTGTCATGGGTTTTTGTCCCTGAAGGATTGGGTTTGGATATCTCTTAGAGGAAAGTGAACCAGATGGTGCCCAATCTCCCATCCTGGTGAACTCTGGATTTCATTTCATAGCTAATTCGACTTGATAGAAGATTAATATGAATATTCATGTTTTGGTGAAAAAAAATTAATGAGTCTATAGGATGCTCCCTCAGTCTCTGCTTGGTGTGTTAATATATGAGCTTTCTAAAATTAAAAAAAAAATCTGAATTCTGAAACTCATCTGGTCCCAAAAATTTGAGTTAAGGGATTGTCAAACTGCATATGGAGTTGCTGACAAATGAGCAGCCTTTTGCAGCCTCATAGTCTCTGGCATCTTCCCTGGGACACATGATCAGTTCCTGTTGCTCCAGAGCCCGTCTTTACACACTGAGGAAATACAGTGAAGTGAGTGAGAATGCTGGCTGCAGGGATGGAGAGCATTTAAGCTCACTATGTAGATTTCCAGGTGTAAGGGAAAGTTGGCCCTGCCCTCTGCAGCTTGATGGGTTGGGGCCTGCTGTAGTGAGGGGGAGGAACCGCTGACACCGCATCCCTCTAACATGTCTCGCCTCAGAGTCCTGGAGGGTAACGAGGAGATGGGGACTGTGGAGGAGATTTGCAAATGCCTCACAGCTGATAGGGTGTGGGATACACATGTGTCTTAAAAGATGCACCTCGCTGTTTCCCGGGGAACCCTCCCCTGGCATCACTGGCATTCCTAGAAGTTATCTGATGATTCGCCTGGAAAAGTTATCTTAAAGGTGGTACCTTTCTGTCTCCAGTTGGCTCTAAACTACAAAGTTTATTTTAGTGATTTCCACTAAAATGCCTGTACTGGCCTCTCTGGGTCACATGGGTGATATGTGGCTGTAAAACCAGACCCTTCCCTTTCTGCCATGTACCTGCCCTGCTGTCTGGAGCATGGAAGGCGGAGTCTGAAGGCCAGGGATAGAAATGCTCAGTGGCAAATCTAGGGCTCTGGGAATGGTCATGCACAAAATACTTTTGCTCAAGAAGTGTTATGTCTGCTGCTGAGGTTGGAGAAGGCAGTGTTCAATTTATTCAGCAGCGAATAAGGAATCTATGTTTCTGCTTTAAAAAAAAAACCTCCAAATTCTTACTATTGAAGTTTGCTTCAAGCTCTTTGAAGAATATGCATGCTTAGGCCCCACAAACTTTATTTAAAAGACTTAGCTGGTCCACAGGTCTGAGAAGGATATGGCTGGGGATTTGGTCCACATGCTGTTCTAGGATGGACTCTGCTGTGTTATGCTTTGCAGAGACCAATGCAGGTTGCTTTCTACAAGCCCTTTGGTGCTCAAAAGCATTTGTTAATAGGAGAAGGTTTCTCATGTCTACCATAAACCTTTGACATTGAAGCAGAATTTCTTCAACAAGCAACGGAATAGAGCTCTGTAATTCAAAGATATCAGTGAGCTGTAACTCCAGATCAGCAAGGCCAGTCCCCATAAACCAGCTGTGGCCAGGGCATCTTGGCAGTGCTCTCTCCACCGTCCTGGGGTAATGAGGAGAAAAGATATTCAAGGGTGTGTTTATACACTGGGAATATATCTTGCCTTGAGAGGGCCGAGAGCCTTACAATGTTTGTATGGGTGCAGCATGGCGCTTCTGAAAAGTCTGTCTGCTTTTGTCCAGTGAAGGCATGGACTTTTGTTAAAAAAAAAAAAAAAACAAAACAAAAAACACATTTCCCAAGAAGTGGGGCCCTGGATCACTGGGGTGACCCACTGATAATGTTGCAGGGACAAGAGCTTGGTAGAGATGTGGGATCCACCAAACATTCCCCTGCCTGATGCCTCAGTACATACATACACACACACACACACACACACACACACACACACACACACACACACTGTGCATACATGCACGCATATACACATGGATGTTTTGTTTTTCCTTCTATTATCTGGTCTATTTTAACACTTAGCTCCTGGAGTGACCCCATGCCAAGGCAAGGAGAATTTGGTTCTTTTTCCCTCTAGATTGCAATGAGAGAGGAGCTGGTAATTTTCTTACGCAGGTCCCCATATTTG